AAAGTCAAAAACTTTTTGAAAAAATATAAAATATAAATTTTGAATATTATTATATAAAATTTTCGAAATTTTCAAAATTTTGAAAATCCGAGATAGCAGTTTGATAGCGCGGTCAATTTTGAGTCCTTTCATGCAAAGAAATTGGATCTAGCTTAAAAACTGAGCTCTTGGGAGCGATTGCCGTGGTTCAATGTTTTGCGTCGAAATCGGACGAACATGACGTCACTCTGACGTCATTTCCGGCCGACCTATGGTAGCTACGAAGTTCAAATTTTGACACAAGGTGTCAAATTGATGCAGCCGAAGGTACTGAAAGTTTGGCGTCGATCCGTCAAGCGGTTTGGAAGTTATTGCAGAAAAACGGGAGGGGGGGGGCTATAAATAGCCCCCCCCAGTGGGGCGCGGGTTAATTCCACATCTTTTATGTTTGAAACATTTTTCTGTATCTCTAAAGCTGTAGGCCTGACAGCTCTTCCCGCGAAACCTTTTTTTGGGTCAAAAATGGAAAAAATGACGTCACTCTGACGTCATTAGCGGCCAACCTATCATAGCCTTTGGAAAAATTTTTGGTCACCATGTGCGCTAGCTGCTCCCGGGAGGGTACTGAAAGTTTGGTGACGATCGGCGCAGCGGTTCTCGAGATATGTTGAAAAAACTAAAGGGGGGGGGGCAAAAAAATGCCCCCCACCGCCTGGAAGGTTAAGCGTGTCACGCGAAAAAAATGCAGCCAGGCTGTCATGAATTTACAATAACACGTCTTAAGTTTTGAGTCATTTGTTCACACTAAAAATCAATTGTGTTCAATGTCCATGATTAACTTCCTTTACGCATTTTGCGTGTAGCTTCGTAGTACGCTGCAGATAAATACGCTTATCGTATTACCTTTCATCGCTCATTTATAGCAGTCTCCCACCGAGCTCTTACCCTTGGATCCATTAAAAAATTATCGAATTGCAACAGTCGTTCCGGTACCCAGGTTCCTTCATCACGACACAGGTCAAAGCTAACGCAGATATTTGCACAAATGCGAATGGTCCTTTCGAAAACAGCAGCTCTCCGTTCAGCACGATAAGTGTTAAAGGGTACTGAATTGATTGTGCACAAAAAGTCATGGAAAGGGCACCAGTGATCGTAAGTGCGTCGACATCGATTTGCCTTTCATAAGCAAGAAATGGTTCAAAATGTCACTGCATATAGAGCATTGTGTCCGTGACTGAGACTTCTACCCGTCTGCCTGCACTGTGCAGCTCTGGAAAAATTGAAATTTGGCTAGCACTGTTGCGCTGGTTCTGAAAGAGGACAGGGAAAAGATGTCAGATGGGGAAGAGGGTAAGATGAAGGTAAGGAGTAGAGATGTCATTCGGATACCAACCTTTTGGTATACCGATACCAAACCGATACCAACCTGGTATTTGGTATTTCAGGGCGAGTGGATTTGGTATTTTGTTGGTATTATGAATCCTTACTTATGTAAAAGAGGCTGAGAATTTGGTAAAAAGTTGGTATTTTCCTCATATTCCCAAGTCGGTTTGGTTTCGGTATTTTTCCATGGATGTTGTTGGTATTTGGTTTGGTATCGGTATCTCGATTTTCCGTAATTGACATCACTAGTAAGGAGAGAGAAAGAGAGAGAGAGAGAGAGAGAGAGAGAGAGAGAGAGAGAGAGAGAGAGAGAGAGAGAGGGAGAGAGAGAGAGAGAGAGAGAGAGAGAGAGAGAGAGAGAGAGAGAGAGAGAGAGAGAGAGAGAGAGAGAGAGAGAGAGAGAGAGAGAGAGAGAGAGAGAGAGGAGAAAAAGAATAATAGAATGAATACAAAACGTTTATCTTGTGGAAAGCTCTCGCATGCACCACCAATCACCATTGACCACCCGATGACGTAGCCGACAGCCAGCCCGCTGCCTTTCACGGACACTCACTGGCCCGGTTTCCGAGTCCCGCCAGAAGGGGCCGCTCCGTGTCCGATGGATGGCGTGACAGGGCGAGTGAAGGTCACGGTCTGACAATTCCCATCGCAATCCACCGGGGCGCAAAAATCTGCCACCAGCACGTCAGTTACACTGCGCCAGAACGTTCATTCAAGTCCGGTACGGCTAAATGCCACCAGTCGTACGTAAGTTCTCTAATCTCTGGTCATTTTAGTTCAGTCCTAGCTTTACTTTATCGACCTCAAAACCTCGACTACTATTTGCGATCTTATGTTCTTTTTTTTTCCTAAAGAAATAATGACACAAACAAATTAGAAAGACGCAATCGTTTTGGATATGTAAAGGCGTAAGGTCTATAGCTTGTTTCCAATTATTTTTGTATTTATTTTCCTGTTCGTTATAACATAATGAAGGAATAAATTAACACGAGCTCGATAGAAATGCTTGTGAGTTAAATTATTGGCAAAAGTTCAATATCAAAAACATCTTACACCACCTTTCCAGAAGTTATCGTTCTCCAACCTTCTTATCGATTTTGCAGTCGATACCCATATAGTTTGAGATGGGTCCGAATTTGGCTATGTATCGCTAATAAATTGTTTTAGTTTTCCCGGAGGATTTTCATAACTAAACTATGACTATGTTCGGGAATCATCGGAACTCGGAACTCAATAATTTTTTTTTTTGTGGATTTCGTTTGGTGAGCCAATTCTTCAACTTCACATGCATCCTAAACGTGTGCTGATGTTGCCTAGAAACTAAACATCACACATCCCGTCGCCTTACATGGAGTGCGTTGGAAACAAAAGATGCGACGATACGCTGTAATCGGGACGGAGCGCTGGTTAAAGTCTTTGTTCGTAATATTTTGGAACGCTTTGTTGATTGCAGGTCCTAAATTAGCGAACGTATAGGTAGCCCATTACGCATTTTAATCTTAGCCGCCGATGGGTCCGTCCGGTGAAATTCTTAACATAGAAAATTAGCCTATACCTACCGAGAGTTCATCAGTGACCTCTAGGCCAATGAAATCAGGGTCCATTCCAGTGTTCGCCACGGGCCGGGCCAGCCCAACGGGCCATGGGCCGGGCTGGGCTACGGGCTGGGCCGGGCCCCCAAATATCATTAGTTAACGGGCTATGGACGGGCCGGGCCAAGAGCTTTGTGCACTATGGGTTTTGCGACTAATGTCAATTTAAGAAAATTTGGAAACTGATGCAAACAAAACCCACTGGGAAAATACAAAAACTAAACCAAATTTAAGGAATGTGAAAGAAAACCTACTTGATATTGAATTTTGGGAATCTTGAGAATTATCCAATATCACATCATGTCACACATAGGAGGGTTTTCATAAAAATTCCGCAACCAAAAAGATCAGAGAATCTCTAGCATCATTAGTTTGTAATAAAAGTTAAAATGTAGTCATCAGAATAACTTACTTAGCACTACAACTCCAAAAACTAAGAAGCCACTCAACAATGATGGGCCACAGGGCTACATTAAGTTTAACACTTATATATGGCGATAGTGAGACAATTCCAACACAGTCTTTTTTCCTTCACCGACGGCTTTTTAACGAACAGAACCTTAAAAGGATACTCACAAAACACACTGTAAGTAACGAGGAACTCTACAGAGTATTTCGCGATGAAAGCTTCTTTAAATGTCCATAAATTTGTCAAAATAAGTCACAACAAACCAGCCCCTTCTCAACAAAATCATTTGCAATCATGGCGGCGGCCATGCGGCGGCCCTATGTTTATGTGGCGGCACCTAGGTAATATACACAACAGTATATCAAATAAATACGTTTTTTAAGTAAGTATCAAGGTGAAAAACAAAATTAAACAAATAAAAAAATAAAACCTAAATCACAAAGTCTGAAAACTCGAACGAAAAACAAAACAAAAACTTGATCATATATGTTTTATTATACAATTGGTCAAAATCGTTACCTGCCGCAGCTGCGACAATAAAGAAGTGTTCGCTCATTTTTGATTGATGATGATGATGCGTAAAAGTCGCAAAAGTACCCAATGACATTTCAAGTTTACCATGTTTTCTGCTTACGCTGCTAGCGATATCAATATCTTGAAAAGAGCCTAACATAAAATAGCAAGGAAAGTAGCAGATAGTTGTCCACAGAGATTTGGCTGACACGTGGGCATGAATTGAAAATAGATAAGATCAGTTGTGCTGATAAATGGATGGATTTTCTCTTTTTTTGGAAGACAGTGCTAAAGTTAGTGTCACCTATTTTGTATGCTTTCTCAGGCTTTTGATATTGCAGCATCTATGGAGTGAATTTAACAGCAAGGTCAATCCCAGACAGATTCATCAATTCCCATAAGTCAAGCTTTTTTCTGCTGGTAAGTGCTGGGAAGTATAGAGTATGTGGCAAATACTTCCTTCAAGTATGCATTAGAGTCACCAATTATGAATGATAATGTTCACACACATCAGCTTGCAAGATAACTTTACTCATAGAATGTAGTTAATATAATCATGTAAACTTTTTATAGGTGTGTAATCAAGACCTAATTGACTGAGGTGCTTGCTGTTACTGTTAAAATTTGTGCCATAGGTGCTTGAAATGATTATATTCATTGAAAAGAAGGGAGTCATGATTGCCATGTTAATGTTCATGCAATTTGAATTGTTCTCAAAATAGTGTAATCAATCATGCTTATTATAGCAATAGACTAAGACAATAACTAGATTGCTATTTTTGCCGGGCCGGGCCGGGCTGGGCTTGGAATATTTGCCAAGAGCGGGCTACGGGCTGGGCCGGGCTCTGAACCCATGGGCCCGGGCCGGGCTGGGCTGGGGATTTTGGGGCCCGTGGCGAACACTGGTCCATTCGATGATTGTTTTTCGGTGTTACTAAATGCTGCTTGAATTTTGACCACCACCCAGTAGTTTCAAAGGTAGGAGGGACTCTGGAGCCCCCTCCTCTGCTCTGTTGAGCCCCCTCCCCCCACTAGTCACTTACGTTATGGAAATTGTGAATCCCAGTCAGGTGCGGGCTAAAAAGCCAGCAGCCGTGCACCCTCGCGTGTTCAAAGCATCATCCACAAGCACCCTTTATTCCTCCCTGATTATTCGCTCACACCATTTGCAACAAAACATTAGGAGCACCGACAGACTTCACTTCAACACAGCATTCACCCAACACAGCGTTCCCAGAGCAAAGCGCATGCCCGCGGTGGCAGGCGCTTGTGCTGCCATCTGAAACCCAGGTACATCACTAGCGCTGCTCTCTACCGGCCGTAGGTGGCGCTCCGGTCGGGCCTGTTCCCTCGGCGGATGCTGCTGCCACTGCCGCTCGGTGCACTGGCCGCTCCAATACTCCTCTGGATGAAGTCGAGGACGTGGACGGAGCTAGCGAACACGGCCGGAGGAGAGTCGGGCCTGCCACACTCCACCGACCAGGAGGTGATGCCGGCCAGAACGTACGAGCCGTCCACGAGACAGGCAAGCGGGCCGCCGCCGTCCCCCTGAGGCACACGGGAGAGCGGCGTCACACAATGTCACACACCGACTGATCAGCGGAAGGGGCTGGGAGGGAATCGAGAGCGAACGCAAGTGTGTTTACAATTTCAAGAAACTAGCGCAATAGTAGGTACCTAATGCTCGATGTCTAGAGGCTTCATCCAGCAGACAGTATTTCAGGAAGGAGGCGATCAATGTAGCCCACGTTTTACGTGACAAGGTATTTGATTAAGTGAAAGGTACAGTTTTTGCAAGATATTCAATATGCAAGTCAGACTTCGTGACCACTGACCCCGTCCCCATCGATCGCCACCCTCACCTGACAGGCATTGATGCCACTTTCTCCTCCGGCACAGACGAAGCTCCGGTGGAGTCTGAAGAAGCTGCCCAGTCTGGTAGCCTTCAGACTGGACTCACACAGCTCGCTATTGACGACTGGAAGTTCTACCTTCTTCAGAATGGACGGAGCACCGGCTAAAACAGCACAAAATGGAGCATAAGAGCACATAATAATTAAGACTGTATAAAACATCACATACGAGACAAAACGTCAATTCTAACGAATTGCGCACCTATCCGAAATGCGATCAGCAAATGTCTCTTATCTAACTAGGATAACTTAGCGCTTGCCTAAAAGAGACGAACTGATCGATGATGTTCGTAGCTGTTTTAGGTAACACTAAATAGCCAACAAATCCTGAGACATCGATCGGTCGATCGATGTCGATTAACCCTCGCCCGCACATGCCATTTTCCCATCCTAGAACGCACAGGGGGGGGGGGGGGGGGTTGCCACCCCCGCGCCATTTCGTTCCTGTTGGAGATAGAGCTTAGCGGTAAAGACCAAAAAGATTCTTTGGGAAGAGACGAATCCAATGATACCCAGCTTTACCTTCTCAGATCAGTCATTGACCTTCCAGGTCAGGTCAAACTAAAAAATGTTGCTGTTTTGGGTCACCGTTGGATATCAAGTGCGCTGCTTATCATACACCGATGACGATGCCGTTTTCTGGTGCCAAGCCAGCTAGAACCTCTTTGTCACTCTACCCGACCAGGTTTTTGCTGCTGAGGTCATTTCAGGTCAAGTTAGGTCAAGGTCAATTATATGTGTTTGTATGTCTGTGTGTGTCTGTGTGTATACTGATGTGTGCACCGATTGTTTACATGAAATCATTACATGAAATCATGATCTGAGAAGCTTTTACCAAAAATGCAGTCAAAAAACTTCACAAAAAGTAATTTCCGCTTGCCTAAAACGCAATTATCTTAGATGACCTAGGTTGACCTTGACCTTGACCTTGACATCTGTACATCGTCGAACAACATGTTCCATGATAGGTTGGAGGTAAGACTGGCAAAAAAGGCCGAAATCAAGGTGTCAAAAGCTCACAAGGCCCATAGCCAACGCAAGATGTTGAGAATTGGCTATTTGGGTCATGACATGACCTGAAAAACAAGGTCATATCTCCGAAACCAAAAACCACAGAAGCTTGAAATGTTTACTGGACATCAAGAAAGGATAGAGGAGCAGCTATACGAAAAATCAGTCTTCTAGCTCGAAAAATGTTGAGTGCAGAGCAGAAAGACTACCTGGGGGGGGGGGGGGGGGGGGTGGCAACCCCCCATGTGCGGGCGAGGGTTGACAATCGCTGCTGCTGCCTTTCTCACCGTCAAAGCCCTGTTTGCCCCATCCGGACGCGACGCAGCGACGTCCGTTGAAGTTCTGTCCCGGTTTCGGTAGACAAATGGGCTGCACGTGGGAATCCAGCACCGCGGGGGAGGCCAGCTCCATCACAGCCACGTCCTCGAACAGCGGACCCTGGCGGAAACCTGGCGGCGAGAGAGACGGAGTTTGGGTCTCATGTACTCGTAACCGTCAGGCGTCAATTAGGGTGGTATGGTAGGTTAGAGATAGAAGGTGATTGATGAACATGACGAATTTGAGTGGGTAAATTATAGCAGTCATAACGTGTGTATTTCCGTGCTCAAAAGAAGATGATTTAATGAACCAAAGAATTAGTGAGATCATTTCATGGCAACCTATTCGCATTATCAACTCAATTACGATATAAAATCGGCAATATTCAAAACTTGTGTAGCACAGTGCTCAATAATTGAACACGATGCCTCTAAGACGTAAGATAACACAAAATGACAGCAAACGTTATAATTTTGTTTCAAATTTTAGTTGTTTCGATCCCGCCAGATCACACGAGGCTGACCTTCATTCATGTGGATGACGGCGACGTCGATGTCCTGGTAGGGCAGCGGCTCACTCTCAGAGAACAGCTGGTACTCCCCCAGTCGGACCAGCACCTCCGTCGGGCGGATACTGCAGGAGAAAACACGGTCACATACACACACAGCGATATTATGATATAAAACACACCACACCAAATGGCACTCCCCCAGCCGGACCAGCACCTCCGTCGGACGGATACCGCAGGAAAAAAGTCAGCCACTTATACCAGCACTGAGACAGACACGAACATATTTTCCTGCTGCATATGCCCACTAGGCAATACCTATGTACTGACAAACCTCGGCCGGATCAGCATCCGCGCAGCCTCCATCGATCTTATGTCGCTTTCATGCTTACAGACACGCAGTCAGGGAAGTCGGAAACGTACGCATCACTGCAAATCTGCATTGCATAGCCACATGCCCGGGCGTTCCAGAAGATGAGCGATGCCAAGCTACAAATATCTACCGGCTCCAAACTTGTCCATGTCAGCGAGCGTACCCACTGTCCACATCCTATCACCCTCATCCGCCAGGTGGGAGGGACCTTGTGACGCCCTTACACTCACCCACGCCTCGCTGAGCCAGCTAAGCCACTGACAAGGCCGGCTCAGTCACAGATTCTCAGCTACCAGCCACTATCGAACTGGTAAGGTGCGATGGTGGGAAGGATGAATCACCTCTCGCAATTCCTCGCATTTTGTCGTCACAGCTGTGCGTCCTCTGTCCAGTCTTACAAGTTTTTATGAAGTTTACCGTAAAATACTTCAATAATGCCTTTTATCTGATCGATGGTGATGACGTGCTACATGATTGATTTATTACAGGATGAAAGGGTGAACGTAGTTTTAGTTTGTTTTATGTCCTTTCTTCTAAGATTGTACTTGCTCAATAGAACGTGGTCATTAATTGCGCAATGTCAAGGAAAAGTGACTCATCTTCTGCAATAGGCACTTCATCGTGGCATTGCAGCATCGCTGCAATGAAAGTTAATACTGCTCATAAAATAGGAGACTTGCTTGTGTGACGGGAGCCACATTTTTAAACTCACAGAAATTGACATGATCATGATGGTCTGAATATTGATATAGGACCAAAAGTCATAAAACGCAAGATGACAAATAATCTGGAAAACAAACAGCACTTCAAGTTCCGCCGCCTTCATGGATGACGATGTTCAACAAAGCGCACGGCAGCAGATGGCCTGCCCACCAGGAACAGACGCCGCGCCGACCCACCTGTCCGTCAGGCACCAGTCGGGTGGTCACGACAAACGAGTTACACCGTCATAACAGAGGTCAGTAAACAGCCGGCTCCCCAACCACATCTGGACCAAACCCAAAACGGAACGAAATCTCTCTCCAAAGCACAATCAGCTGGTCTTCTGCGAGCCCCTCTGCTCCACGCCCAGACTATCGGACACCGGCGCCGCCCTCATCCAGGGGATCGACACCTGCCTGAGCAGGTCAAACAACAAGCACCTGGCTTCCGCCTCTTCCAGCGCGGGGACCACTCGAGCCGTATCGTGCAGCAGGCGCCGGACAAATAGAAGGCAACACGCCGCCATAATTACATGCCGCCGACGGACGCTGACAAAAATTTGCTCAGCCACCCATTTCCCGCATATTCAGAGGTGCAAATAAGCATTGCCAGTGAGGACAGGTGTGTCACTGCAAGTGGTATGAGCCAATGACCAAATCGGACGTTCACCCCAGCGACGGCGACAGCCGGAGACCATCTGCACTGTGCCGCAACCGGGATAAAAAAAAACTAGCGTCCCGAAACAAAGCAATAACCGACGAATTCGCAAATATCACACTCGTTCGGCCGAAAACAGGAACAGCTGGAAAGTTCGACAACCCTGGCGGACGCTACAGGTGAACTAATACCAGAGATATCATGAAAACAGCCAGACCAAGCAATGAGGCGCCGACACCGGGTAACATGACACCCGCAGGGACAGAGATGCAAACATGCACAGGTGTTCCACCGGAACGGTGCCCATATGAAGCATTCACTAGACGAGCAGCGACGCCGACGGTCGGAGACCACGCCGGTATAACTGGATGACAGCTGGGACAAATAGGCGTCCAGCAAACAGAGCAATGATTGACAAATTCGCAAATATCACACTCGTTCGGCCGAAAACAGGAACAGCTGGAAAGTTCGACAACCCTGGCAGACGCTACAGGTGAACTAATACCAGAGATATCATGAAAACAGCCAGACCAAGCAATGAGGCGCCGACACCGGGTAACATGACACCCGCAGGGACAGAGATGCAAACATGCACAGGTGTTCCACCGGAACGGTGCCCATATGAAGCATTCACTAGACGAGCAGCGACGCCGACGGTCGGAGACCACGCCGGTATAACTGGATGACAGCTGGGACAAATAGGCGTCCAGCAAACAGAGCAATGATTGACAAATTCGCAAATGTCACAATCGTTCAGCCAAAACAGGAACAGCTGGAGAGTTCGATGACACTGGCAGACGCTACAAATGAACCAATATCCGAGATATCATTATTACAACCAACCCAAGCAAACGCCGTGCACACGCCTCCCCTTTCCCCAGTGGGACCAGGGTACGAAATATGGGTCCAGACAGACAGGTGTTCCACCAAAAGAATCGCAGGTCAGTGACCGACCATATCAGGCATTCACCGGAGTGGCACCGACGCCGCCGACCACCTGCAAAGCAGAAAAGCCAGCACAAAAGGAGCACCCCGAAAAAACAAAAGTGTATGCGACAGGTGGCCAGAAGATAACCGATGACATAACTACGGTGCTCGGTCAAATTACAACCAGTTGGGAGAGAAAACAATAACCAGAACCAACGCCACTCATGATTCAGTATACAGAGCAAAGATATGCGTTATATCACACAGGCCCTAACAGAGGACAAAGAAGAAGCACCCCTGTGGAACGACAAGCTGACACCGACGAATTATCAAGTCTTCTGTATCACACAGCTGCTGGGGTCTACACGATAGCGATTCTGGGTATAAAAGGAGGATGCAGTCATGGAGGACTCACTCAAGTGCACGGGGCCTCTAGTGCACGGAGCATCCAGTGCTCGGAGAGATCCGGTGCAACGGCTTCAGCGAGAAGAGTGCAAACAGAGTGCTCGTACCAACCTCTGGACAATCGACCGCATCAGCGCCATTCAAGTAAGAATGAACACAGACAGAAGTCTGCTCACTCCTACCCACTCTGAATCCAAGTTCGATCCCGTCTTCCCAACACACTTTAGTGAACTGCATACACCGGCTGATGGTTCAGGGCTTTCCCTCCAGGGGTAAATCACGGGCGTAGGGTGGTAATAAGGATATGCATTATGTAACCATCGTAGGGGAAACACAAACGGCGTCGGAGTCGGTCTTGTGTGAGTGTTTGTAGGATTAAGGTTGATGTTCTGGTGACCCGGCATAGGTTAAGGTTTGATCGATAGACGATCCGCGTTGTGAGGATATGTGCCATATGACCACCATGGGAACACATGAAATAGTATCGGAGTCGGTCTTGTATGGGTGTTTGTAGGATTAAGGTTGATGTTCCGGTGACCCGGCATAGGTTAAGGTTGGATCGATAGATGCGCGGTTATGAGGAAAATGCGCCACAAGGCCACCATGGGAACACATGAAATAGTATTGGCGTCGGTTTTGTGTGAGTGTCTGTAGGTTAAGGGACGGGTTCGCGTATGTTTCAACGACCCGGCTCGGGCTAAGAGCTCGATCGGTTGGCGATCACTGTGTAAGCAGGCCGAGCATAATTATCCAAGGGATGTGAATTCAATCGGAAATCAGACACGGCGGCTCGTTCGACAACTCGTTTTTCCCGTTTACTGTATCACTCGAGATTTCCTGCTGATTCATCTATCAGGGGCGTTCAGGCCCATATAAGTCATGCGTGGACATCGCGAAAACTTTAATTGATTGCCGTGTGACATTGGGTGAATAAAAATACGAGAAAACAAAGAGAGCACGTGTGTTAGGAGGATTGGTGAAAAATCAAAGGGGACCGTCACGTTTATTCATTGAACGATACCGGGCAGCCAAAATGAGAGCCAGAGTACCACAGCGAGACGTAACCCGAGATGATCATTTGCTCTCACCCTCTTATTCCCCCTACGGTCTCTCTCTCTCTCTCTCTCTCTCTCTCTCTCTCTCTCTCTCTCTCTCTCCCCTCTCCCTTCCTGTCTCTCTCTCTTACTCTTTCTTTCTCCCTCTCTCTCTCTCTCTCCCCTCTCCCTCTACCTCTCTCCCCCTCTCTCTCTCTCTCTCTCTTCTTCTCTCGCTCTCTCCCCCTCTCTCTCTCTCTCCTACTCTCTCTCTCCCTCTCTCTCCCTCTCGTCACCCTCCTCGGACCGCGATGTGTGTCAGAGATAAGATTCTCGCCGGCACTGCTCAGTAGGGCAGGGGTGCACCCGATCAGTTGACATGACCGTGTAACCTCGCTACTGTGTTAGTAAGTCGGTCTCGTTGTAAACACCAATCAGCTGGCTCGCGGCGGGCAACTATGCTATCACTACTAGAGTGACGTCATGGAATGAGAGTGAGTGGTAGGAGGTGGGATAACGAGCTAATACCATCAGAAGTATCATATATATATCACCGAGTCAGCACAGCTCACACGACGCACACTTGCAGGTCAGAGGAATACATTAAGACTGAGTAGCACATAGTGACTGGAGATTCGATCGCCATCCACGTCGTTTGCCGTTAGGTTCCCGCGCCGCTTGATCGGTCACTGCTGAGTAGGAGAGCGCGAGTCTCCACTCGTTAGCGCACTCAGGATAAATTGCCACGCGTCGGGGTTGGGATCCCAGCGGTGCGCCGCGAGAAGATAAATACCGGTGTGTAGTCGCTGCACCTCGGAGTTCACGCGAGCCAGCTCCGCTTCATGGCGATACTGGAAAAAAGGGCGACGTTAATCCTGCAGTCCGGACCCACTCGAGTATCGAAACGTCTTTGTTTACGTCATCGTCACACATAAAGAAGATTTACATAACTGGGAAACGCGCAGCTACCATTGCCGTTCAACACAAGGCAATAATAGAAATTTAAGGAAAAGGAAGAAACAGCCTT